AACCGCCAAGTTGTCCGGGCCACCCGCGGGTTCAGTGCGTCTTCAAATTCACACGGCCGCCTGATTGTTCGAACTTTCGTCTGCTCTTTCCAACTTGTCTGCTTTTTGTCGTCTGCTCGTTCAAACGAAAGAGGCCCGCAGACCAAACTTTGACCCGGTGATTACAATAAGAAATAATTGCAGACCTCAAACGACTTAAGTAGGCTCGATGTAAACAGTACATACAAGATGTTGATCATTGGTACCAGTGGCCATCACCAACTTGTTACGCTTGGTCTGTTTCCGCTTCCGAATTTCAGTATCGACGTTGATCATCGCCGCTACCTTCTACACTTTTGCAGCACGAGCGACGTCGCGACCGAAAATATCTAGATTCTCATCGTGGTTTTGGCGTCCATACTGTGGTGTTCATGCGAATGAATCGCCGCACGTCAAATTATTTACGCAAAGTTTAGCGGTGTAACGAGCCTTGATAGTTTCGCTCAGGCGATTAAAGTGGCAAGACATTGCTATGGGGACGTAGATTCGACAATTCCAACGCGAAAAAGAGTGTGCAGACTCACACAGACGCCGACAACGTGACATTCCAAAGGTTTGTGGACGCGGGACGCGGTGCTTCTTGCCCGCACTCCATTTCGCATGCGTTCGAACTGTCGTCTGCTCTTTCAAACTTGTCTGCTTTTTGTCGTCAGCGCGTTCAAATAACAGCGGCCCGTAAACCAAACGTTGACCCGGTAATTGCGATAAGAACTAAGTGCAGGCCTCGAAACACTTTTGAAGGTTGGTTGGGGTAAGTAGGCTAAGTGTAAACAGTAGATGCAAGATGTTGATCATTGTTATCAGTGGCCATCACCGATTTTGTAATGCCCGATTCTACTTGCGGTTTTCAGTATCGACGTCCACCATCTCAGCTAGGGTCCACGCTTTTGCAGCCCGAGCTACGTCGCGACTGAAAACAGCGAGCAGAATCTCATCGTGGGAGTCAGGCTTTAGCGCCCATTCTGCGGCGTCCACGTGAAATGAATCGCCGCAAGTCACATTATTCACGCAAAGTTTTGCCTCGTTAATTTTGCTGAAGCCGCTCAAGTAGTCAGCGATTGTTACGAGGACGTAAAATCAACAATTCCAACGCGAAAAAGAGCACGGGGAATCCCACCGACGCCGAAAACAACGCAATGCAATGGTTTGTTTATGGGCGACGGCGGGTTTCTTGCCCACCATCCACCGCGCATGCGCGGCGCCGGTGGCGTCCGCTAGGGGCGCTCCGGTTTGTTTGTAAACATGAGTTGGTGTATAGTGTTTCTGTGTACAATCAAACAGCCATTTTGTGTTTGAGGAAATCAAACCTGCTGTGCAGTTGATGCTAACATAAGGATGCACAAAAGTGAAAGGGTAAGGTAGTTATGTCTTTTAGTAAAATATGCCAACACAACAATCTTAACATATAATATTCACAGTGGTATGAATAAAATTGAAGTCTGTGCATGTGCTCCAAAAGTACTTTTTGCTGTTGCAAAATGGAGTTTTGGCTGCTCCAAAAATGACTCGGGCTAATCACATCACTGTGTTATCCTGAAAGGTTTTTGTGTAATAAGTCTTACTTTGAAATATTGACTTCAGAAAATGGTAAAATGAGTCCGTGCATGTTTATTGCCATTATTTCAGAAAACTATTTACACACTATTCTATTTATGGGAGTCGTATCTCCACTTGCACATGTCTAGTCTTCATTATTTTCTTCTTTCTCTAATAAGTGCATGTGTAAGGTATCCAGTAAGGGGTATGAATATGTTAAAAATGCCAGCAGGTATTGTTTAGATGCCTTTTATACCTCCTGCAATTAATAACTGAAACTGGAAAACTCAGAAATGTCATAAAAGAGCTTAATAAATCTAGAGCTTTCATTTATACCATATTGGATTGCAAAAGCCTTTCAGTTTTTATAGGTTTATTTTTTGATTTCAGTATTTTGATTTGTATTAATCTTTCCCATAATATTTGCAAATAAAACTCAATATCAACAAACTAATTAGGCTATGCCAAAGCCATGTACATATTTGTAGTTAGATTGTAAAGGCAGATCATTTATGTAAATTTCATTTGAACTGGACCACAAGGTATATAAATATTGTGATACAAAGGCAGGGAGGTTAGTTTTCAATCATAACAGTATGAGTTGCAGCTTTGCACCTGCGCTAAATTCTGGCAGATCAGTTCCTAACAAATGGACAGCTGCAGCGTGAATGGGACAAGACCCGGACATGACTAAAAGTGCACTCGACTCCGTATGCGATACAGTGAAACCAGAACACTAATATCCTTGTTGAAGTTCCCTTATCAGTTGACCTTTGTGCCTTAGGACACGGTGGTATTTGTGAAGTGCTTTGGTCAGGCCGTTAACGCAACTTTAGAAAATCTGATAAGTAGATGTCTGCCTACCTTTAGATTATCTGAATATTTGGGCATCACCAAAGAACCTTGCGAATAGCGGATTGACTGCAGTGCCCGAAATTCACCCACTGAACGGGTGTGCAGAGTCCGCGAAGCTCTGCGGGTTGTACCAACGGGTGGCTGTTCTGGTCACGTAATGTGGTTTATCTGTGGTTTTGTTGCCTCCTCCCGGTCCACCACCCCTGGACATTTGCTAAGCTTTTCGTCTGGCTTGTATTACGCTTTTGGCGGCACATGGCGTTTGGTATTTTTAAGTTTAAGAGCTGTGTTTTTGTATAACAATGGAAAAGTGAAATGCATAGGTACTCTAAAACAACTGTATGTTCGTAGGCTTTGATATTTTGCAAAGCACAATTTTCGGGAATATTTTGCAAGCATGATGCTGTAGACGACTTTATTTTCGCAGGCTCAGTATTTCAAGAATTTTGTGATGTGTAATTTTCAAGAATATCTTGCAGACACAAAAGTTGTTTTTTTTTTATTTTTATTTTAAGTGATTTGTTATGGGATGCTAATTCATGCATCGTTTTTTTTCTTTTTGCGATAGGTTTCAAGTTGAGAAATTTGTGAAGCTAAGTTTACAGGATTTTGTGGTAGGGTGTGTTGTGCTACATATTGGTCACTATGAAATGATGTACACAATTGATAAATTTTTCGCAATATCTTTAAAAAGCGAGAAATTTGCAAAAGTGACGTACTTAGGAAAATGTAGCAATTTGCAGTATATGGCATCTGGAAGGTATAGTTTCCCCATGCGCATCAGATATACTTTTCAAGTCATAAATCAGACTGTAGGTCGTGTGTGAGGCTCTGCTATGAACCCCAAGGCATCATTCTACTAGTCTTTGCAAGTGCCTCTCAGGTTTTGACATTTGTTTTGGAAGCCTCAGAATTTCCTTGAACTGGCGATGGGCTTGCACGACTTTGAAGGTGCACTTCCTTTTTCATCCAAGTTGAGGGTCGGATCGGGCTTCATGGGAAATACATAGATGTTAAGCCGAACGTCGCTGGTGTGGGCCAGCAGCTTCCTCCCTGAACGAAGGCTGACATGCAATAAATTAAAATTTGCAATAAATTTTAAGTAACCAGGAACATATGGGGACATTAATTGGGGAAAACCAGTCCCATGTTCTTATCATACTTTGCTAATAGGTTAGACATTGGCAGGTTTTACTGGAAGTTTACATTTGGAGCTTTGTTGTGGTTACATATTGTGTGGTTACAATTAGAATGATGTGGGCAAATTACTTTTAGGGGTTATGGGCTACCTGGAATGCTTTCAGTTGGCCAGTAAATGACAACACTTGAGGTTTGTGTCATGTCACAAAATTATGTCAATCCAACTTGGGGATGTTTAGGAAACATACTCTCTGGTTTGGACACGAGTAATGTTTACTAAAGCAAGAGTGCAGGCAAGCTGGTTTCTTCTGTTTCTTCTACATGCACTGAAAGAGAAAATTAATTTTAGGGGCGGAAGCTCCTTAGGGGCTAGCCATGTCCGTCTGCCGTCGGGTGCACGTGCTCTTGCTCGTGAGCTCACACACTCACGTGCTCACAAGCATGTGAGCACGTGCTCCCGTGCTCGTGTAGGGCAAAAAAACAAACAAAAAAAACTCATCTCCACATGGTGAATGATGTTGATTGGGGCGAAGCTCTGGTAGTGCTTGTCTGCGTAGACAGTGAGCCGCAGCATGCCGAGCCTTTCGTTTGTTTTCATCCATGGAAGAAAGAGAGTGTGTGGTATGGGAACCTGGTTATATACGCATTTGAGCATTTGACCGCAGCGTGACATGGATGAAAACGAACGAAAGGCTTGGCATGCTGTGGCTCAGCGTCTATGCAGACAAGCACCACCAGAGCTTCGCCCCAATCAACATCATTCACCACGTGGAGATGTGGTTGTTTTTTTATTCATGCATGCCCAAGGGGCATAAATCATGACAGACCCCACTGCTCTGATTAAAAGGCATTTAACAGTGATGCCTCATTAATACGGACACCTCCATACCCCCAAAAAGCGTTCATAAAGTGGGTTGTCTGTAACAGTGAAACAAAAATGTGTGTATTTACCCAATTCATCCCCAAAAATGTTGTCTCCATAGCAGGTATTCACATTAACGGGGCCCATATTGACGCGACACGACCGGATGTGCTTGATGAAGTGTACTTTTGTATGCCTTGCCTCCGCCATTGCAGAAGTATTATACATTATAGAATGGATAAGTAACTAACCAATACACAGAACACAAAATACAAACATAATGTTGGTATAGTGTTTACACTAGTAGTTGTTAAAATGTCTCAAGATGATGGAGGCACTACAGCTTAACAGGGAGTTCACAAATGGCAAATTTGTTTACAATTTGAGGTGTGCAGTGACATACCCATGGATCAGAACATAATGTGAATCATTTACACATTCTTGTGAGATTTCTGAGCATGGCCAGTGGACCGACTGCTCTATCGGTCAGATTGCTCAGCTGGACTTGTATCTCCCGTCATGATGGCACCCGTGACTCAAAAAGAAACGACGCTTGCCTTACTCACAGGAACATCACCTGCAGCGTGCCATCTCCGCACAGCAAGCGTTTGGTCACACAGGAGAGCTGGTCATCCCCACGCCCGAAGTGTACACCATCGGAGATGATGTATTTGACGCATTCTACCCCCCAAATTACAAGCTGTCCAGGCAACTCATTCACATGCAACGTGAGTAGCACATGCATTCGACATCATATAAAATGGCCAGTTTATGCACCTTTGCTGAAATTGCGTGTTCAGTTTTGTTGAACTGGACTGGCTTTGTTCATACATAAGCTTATGTTTACCCTGTCGCAGGTTGAGAAAAGCCTGCTCTCGCGAAGCCCTTCCATCTTTTCAGATTAGCAGAGTGAATGCTGAAGAGAAGGTGAGGAGTGACTTGGGCCTCCTCTCCGGCATTCGCTCTGCTGGGCGGCAAAGGGCAGAAGGGACTTGTTCTACGTTTGTTAACCTGCATCAGGCTGTAGTATTCACTCGATGCCACTTGCTAGGTGCATTGGCATCAAGCGTCGCGGCCGCCACTTCCGAAATCTCTCTCTCATTCTGCATGGTGCTGCGCCTGCCGTTTGCCCGTGTTGGACGTAAGCCAGGATTGCCAAAATTTTATAGGTTTCAAGGTGTCTTGTGACATTCAAGGTTCTGTTTCTACTTCTGAAATCTCTCTCTCTCGTTCTGCATGGTACTGTGCCTGCCGTTTGCCCGTGTTGGACGTAAGCCAGGATTGCCGAAATTTTATAGGTTTCAAGGTGTCTTGTGACATTCAAGGTTCTGTTTCTACTTTGGCGCTTTTGTAGTGCAATTGGATCATTTTCTGCTTGTTTTATTGTTAGCGTACACGGCCACTGGGGCCATTGATGCGTGTTGCTCTGCGTCATGTCCACGTTGATCGTCTCTCTGCACAATTGCACCGTGCAGCTTCCCGCGTTAGTTGGTGATCCATTGATGGAAGTGCTGCACCATTTGTGCCAAATTATGCCATGAACGAAAGTCGGCCACATCTTGCGCCAAGTGCCACTTTTGCTAAGAATAATGCCACACCTGCGCCAAGATGGGCAAAGAAAAAAAAAACAAGAAAATATTTAATTATTCGTTGACCCTAATATTTGGAGCAGTACGAGGAAAGGAAAACAGTACAAATATGTATTTCACTGCATCTCTACTCACCCTCTAGTTTGTTTCATCTTGGATAGTCGAAGGCTCAAACAGACATACAAGAAAAGTTACGGGACATCCACTTTAGCCAATGAAAGAACATGTAAAGGAAAATAGAGGAATGCCATGATGTCACACTTCGATACTGTTTTGGTTGGTCCTAGAGTCACTGCATGTTCCCAGAGTACCGAATTCCATCCAACCCGCTTACCGGAAGTCAATCCCCACAGATTCCAGTTCTGATTGGCGGTGCTCTTGCCCGTGGTGGAAGTTATCAGTTGGCCATTTTGGGGATGGGCCCTTGGCAACATAAAAACATATATAAAACGTTTCCGCGTTGCCATGGCTATGACGGGTACGTTATGGGTGGGAGCGCTGGGCATCAATGAGTGAGGACCAAACAGAAGGTGCATTAATTTTCTGTTCCTTTTTTTTTTATATATATATATATATATATATATATATATATATATATATATATATATATCAAGTAGCTGCTAATCTGGTTTGCCAAGGAAGATTGCTGGCATGTTCACTCGCTCCGGCTGCGCTAGTGTTGCGTTTCATTCTCTACTCCTCAGACACTAAGCCTAACACTTTGATGTGTTTCGAGGCGAGAGAGAGAGAGAGATGGGGACAGCGAGGAAGAAGTCACGTTCCTCTCGGAACGAAGGAAAGAACTTTTATCAAAACAAAGCAGCGTTGACACAGACAAGGAAAGTAAATTGAAGAGCTCACACGAAAACGAACGCTACACAGTACGCGCTTCGCTTCGACTGCATATTGGGGATGGGTTGGAGTGCGACTGCTGCGCCGTGACTCAGTTCCGAAACGAAGCTTGGAAGTTTTTGGCACTCTTGGAACATCCAGTGACTCGAGTTGGTCCTATTGGCTCGTAGTGTTGGGTGCGCTTTAACTTAGGTGAAACGAAGTATTGAAATCGCTCGCCAACCGCGCTAGTCGTTTAATGCACTGGTGGGTTGATTACTGGCGTCTAAATTTCCAGACAATGTCGGCGTTGTCGGGAGCGAAAAGTTGGGCTCGCATGACATATGAGAGCCCAACTACCCAGAAAAGAATTTGCGACTCGAACTTTGTTTTTTTTTCGCTCGAAAACCGCTGATCGAAAACTGGCCGGTTAGAGTCGTGCTCACTCTCTTTTTCGTGGTCTTGGGCCGTTTTCTAGACACGACTCCCAAATTTAATCAAAGTCGTGAGTCATTGAAGGCACACAGTCAATATTAAAATATAAAAAAAAATATGAAACCCATTTTTTGTGACTTCCAAAGAGCTGCCAATATGTTGATTGAAAAAAGGTTGCACATACAACCGGAAGAATATTGTGTGTTCACTGCATAATTCTCAACATGGCGTCGTTTTGCGTATTGTGGGACTCGCGGATGGCAGTGGACGGCGGGCGTGGGACCTCTACTTCAGAACTGTCGTTCGCGGTACCAGCGAATTTTGTCTTCCTTCTAAAGAGAAATTTTGGACCTGTCAAAAGAATTGGTATTCATTCCGTACGACACGCCCAACCACCAAGCCGAATGCACGAAGACGTTGCCGAGCCGTCGCTCCTTCTTGTGGCTGAAGACATCGCTTGCACAAGCATCAAGCACGAAGTGCGTACTTCGAGTTGAATATGCACGAGTATGATTTCTTTACTAGGTGCGAATGTGGCCAATGCATGGTGCTCCCCGACTTCGAGCCGGGAGTGCATGTATTGAAGGGAAATCGGCAGCAAACTTCCGACATACAGTCGACCGGCTGCATTATTACGAACGAGAGAGAGAGAGTTCTCTCAGTAGCTCAGTGGAAAGACGTCTGCCTCACAGCAGGCACAAGTTCAATCCCTAACGTGGGCGTACCTTTTTTTTTTTTTTGTGTCATACATTTTGCTATGTTTTACGTTTCTTTTTTTTTTTTTTTTACAATTATCACTGAAAAAAAACAAAAGTTGTGGATGAAATGTCGCTGAAATAAGTGGTATGGGATTCCTTTTTTGGCACCTGCGAACTCAATGTGGTCACTTTCCACAAAATGCAAGGAGCATGTAAATTGGGTAGCGTCTGCTTTCCGAGGTGCCCGTAATAGTCCTAAGGGAATTGCAGTTGATCTTTCGGAAACTTGTGCAGACTCTGCTGCACAATGCTGCTTTCAGATGCAGGACATGTGAAGCAGCTCTTCAAGCAACATCTTGGGGGTATTCTTTTCGGAGCCGATCATGGGAATTCAACACGGGCATTACTCACTACTAATTTCCAACACTTCACTGTACAAAACAACTCATCTTGAAGTACAGAACCATGAGCGGATCAAACATAACTCGAAAGGAATAGCGCGGCAAACAATTCCCACAACACAATTCGTCTGCTGCGCGTGGAAAAAAACAGAAAAGCGCACAGTTGGTTGTAGCCACGTGACTTTTGACAGTCTCTCATCCTCTATATTTCTCTGACCTCCATGCAAAAGTTTCGGTTTCAAGCAGTTGCGTTTTTTGGCTTTATTAAAAATATACGTGACTCTGTAGCAGTATATTAATTAGGTAGTCTTCCGACACCATTATGAATCGCCTGGCAAAAAATTAAAAACAAACTTTTGGTGGGTGTTAGTGTCCCTTTAAAGCGCAAGTGTAGGTTTTCCTAATCTTTGTGGGTGCTTGTTTTTGCTGTTTATAATGTTAAGGTCTTGAGTTTGGTAGTCTCATCGAATTTGAGAGGCACTTTTTTTTATAGGTAGATGTGTTAGCCGATATGCCGGTTTTTGCTGGCTGATTTCAGATAAGATCGACCAAAGGGTGACTGGTTGACATTTTTAAATCAACTGATATTTTTATATGCCATTGTCTGGTGTCTGGTATAAACGAATCCACACTTTGTTTTGACCAGAAAAAACATTTGGGTACAGGAAAAGTCGTAAGGTATAGAGGTGGACTAAAGCGTTAACTAAAACAGTAAAATTAGGAGAATTCTAATACTTTTTAGAAAGAATGTATGTGTACTGCTTGCTTGTAATATATAGCAATAATATTTATTTACATTATATTTCTTTTTACTTACAATTTACATTAAATTGCAAAACATGCCTGCTTGAACGACAAATGGCAAAATTCGGGGGCCTGTATTTCATGAAATAATTTATTCACCACCATATACTTTTCAGACGCTATTTTACTTACATATGGCTATTATTTAATATATATATATATATATATATTAGATATCTTAGTGATACGGTTGTCGTCATATATTTTGGCAAACATGGAAAAAAAATCAAGCAAAACATTCCGATGCAAATTAAAAAAAAAAAAAAAAAACGCCACCTTCGATTTTTTTTAAATTTGGGTACCCTGTCATACTCTATTTTGGCATTCATTTCTATGTAAGACATGTTGCATTATATGATTGAAAAAGAATACATAACTCCCAAAAGTAGGGTCTTTTTTCAAAGCCTACACTTAGCAGTGCCCTATACGAGAAGTTATTCCGAGTTCCAGTTTCATGAAACTAACACCCATCTTTTATATATTTTTATTCAGATGAGGCCATTGATAACTGTAGCAATCGTTCACGCAGTAAAAGTGAGGAGAAACCACTGCATACATAGAGGTATCATAATATGGACTAGTGATCTGACAAAAAGATCATGCAGCCTTTGGCCACGGGGAACTTTGTTTACTTTACTGTCCTGGGCCACTATATGCTCCTCTCTCTTCCCCTGTATCTCCATCTCTCTCTCTCTCATATAAATCCCTGACTTATATCTAGAATAAAAACATATTCAAGCATTTTCTTTCCGCAAGATAGTGCTCTGTGACTAGCAGGGTGGTAACGTACCTAGGTACAAGTAACTGAAAATCAATATCTAGGTACTTTTGTTGTACCTGAGGTACAAACCTAGGTACTTTCATTTCTCAGTATCTGTATCTGTATTCTAGGTACATTTTCCAGGAACTTGTAACTAAGTGAAGTTACTTCTTATAGGTACTTTTCGATTCACTTCGTCAAAATGGTAGA